CAAATGATATGTAGATTAGTGAAATATCTAATTGCAATTACCTTGCAATATTTATAAGAATAAAAACAAATTTGCAGTAAGTCTACTGTAGTTCTGCAATTGTAATATATATATGTGTGTGTGTGTGTGTGCGCGCACGCTTTTTAGTGGTAGAAAAGTGAACTGTAAATATATTGAATGAAGAAAACAAAATGTATTTGTTTTCTATATTTAATATTTCTGTGATACTACAGTTTATTGAACACATCACGCTGTAAGCATCCCTTTGTGAAACAGGAAGCATTTATTACCGTTATATGCCCACTAAGAAATAAATTTGCTGGGCTTCAATTTTAGTGGGGAAAACTTCTTAAGGAATATGTTTCTGTAAGGAGATCAGGCTCTTTTCCGCTAAGGTCTAAGTGTCATGCAGGTTGAGTGTAATAAAAGACCACTTACAGGCGGCAGGGGAGAAAAGTCTTGTCCGTGTTGGGAAATTCCATTCCACCTTTTGTTGCAGATATGTGGGATTGTTACATGTCACATGCCTGATTACATTCCAGCACAGACTGCTGGGCCCGTGAGTGGAACTTCCACTCTGTGTATTGCTTTTGCTTTGAGTCTCTCTCCGAGAAGACGGCAAGGAGAGACGACATGTTTTTTGGCCTGATTTATGTACAATAAATCCGTAGTTTTAGTATGTATGTACGTATCTATGTATCTACATGTATCTTCTGTTGTGCAGTTTACTCTGCTAAGTAAAGTGTGCTCAAGTCAGCAGGCTTGAGTCGCTGATTTACGTCGGAGCCAGAGGTCGATGTATCTCTGCAGTGGCAAGGCTGAGAGGGAGACGATCCAGCTGGGGCTGAGCCAGCTGGCCTATTGACCCCCAGATGCTGACAGTCCGCGTGGCCAGCTCATGTCACTCATGAACACATCCGGTTGGGGGGCTGGCTGGTTGCCCATCAAATTTTTAAATTCAAATGGGCCAATTATGGCCCTTGGGTGGACGATGGTCTGGCGATGGACCTGTGGGGGCCAGTCTTTCAGGTCCACCACCACAGCATAAAAGCTGGCTTGCACTGCAAGCATGAGACGCAGTCAGAATTGGACATCCCACCCACCCACCTTGTATGTTATTGGCTCTACCTGGAGGTAAGCGGGCATAGCACATGTATGTCCTTGCGGTGGAATTAATTAGTCAGCATGTGAAATTAATATTTTGGGCCAGGGAGGAATTTGCCTGCAGACAAATTGGCCCTGTCTGGGTTTTTTTGCCTTCCTCACAGTAAGTGTCAAAACTTTTGGTGGAAAAAAAAGGCATTGGGTTGGATACTTAGTCTAAGCTAAGGGGTTGGGTGCATGGGTGGGTGGGTGGGTGTGCCCCACCCTCTGATCTAGTATCAAATTCAGGGTACCCCGTTAAAGGGGTCCAAGGGTAGGGTTCTGTCCAAAAGCCCAGACGAGGCTAACAAGCCAGAGAATACAGTGGTACCTTGGTTGTTGAACGGCTTTGCTCCCGAACAAATTGGCTCCCAAACCCTGCAAACCCAGAAGTGAGTGTTCCAGCTTGTGTACATTTTACAGAAACTGAACGTCCAACGCGGCTTCCGATTGAGTGCAGGAAACTCCTGCAGCCAATCCGAAGTTGTGCCTTGGTTTTCTAACCTTTCCAGGAGTCGAACGGACTCCCGGAACGTGTTAAGTTTGACAACGAAGGTACCACTGTACCCCCAAATTGAGACCTTGTGGGATTGCCCTATTTGATTTGCATCATGGGTTGGAGGTCCTTAATCCCATTATCGACCCCAATGGAGTAATCAGCCAGCAACAGGGTTGGCTGATTCAGGATACATACCAAATGCCTATGTCAAAGCCAACTTACATGTGAAATCAATAAAGTTGTAAGTGTTTCAATCCCAAGCTGGTGCTGTGGCATTTCCGCTCTTTGTACACCTCCACCCACCCGCCCCTGTGGCCCCCAGTCTGCTGGGCATTGGCCCACAAATTCCATCTTTTTTGTGGTTGTTGTTTGCTTTAGGCTAGCAAAAAACTAGCTCTTACTCCGGATCAATACTATAAATATGCAAGTTCTTAAGGTAGACAGAGATGTTTGTCAGGAAAATGACAGATCCATGTAATATGATTGTTTATATAAATAGAAAGTACTTCCATTCATACATCCTTTGCCTTTTATGGTTGTGATCCACCATGGTGCATTGATCACACTCTGGAAAGTTCCTCAACTCTCTGATAAGTGTTTTTTTAGGAAACCAGAGCTCTCTGCTTGTAAACAGAAGGGTATTTTACTTAGAAAGGGGAAAGATGGATCCACACCAATGTTTCCATTGGTCTTTCCCCTGGAAATTATATCTAGACATTTGTACTGTTAGTGTAATTCTAATGCAGTTTGACATGATCATGATCATTACATTATCTAAGAATAGAAACTTATAATGTATCCTCTGAGATGGCATAAAGGCTCTGTTCAGTTTTCCATTAATGTGTTTTAATGGTAACAGCAGCCAATTGGTATGTACTTTTATTTAGGAAGTATCTAAATAATAATTGGAAATTTTTGTTTTAAATCATTGATTTAAATTGGCCTTTTTTCCTTGGTGATCTAAATTGCTGAGGTAAATCACATTGATCTTTTACAGCCTATAATTCTAGGGTCAGAGCTAAATTACTTTATTGAAAGAGTTATATACCATATGCTGTACCTTAATCTTTCTTAAGAAAGGCATTAAATACACACTTTTTCAGAAATCCCGTTTAAAAGTATATTAGTCTTCATCATTAGCTCCAACAGATTGCCTACACTCACAGAAATATTTAGGATAGAGATTAATAATAATTTTAGTACCAATATAGGTGATGTGGCTGTACATCCCTAAAGGCTTGACTGTCCCAATGGAGCAGTGGATTTTTGCAACAAATAAGGATGCCAGTCCAAATTTTGGCAAGTTCCAACTGGGTGTCACTTCATGCAATATTATTCATTTGTTGCTTTGAGTAAAGGCCCCAGTTGTGTTGTTGTTGTTGTTTCAGCCGTTTAGTCGTGTCCGACTCTTCGTGACCCCATGGACCAGAGCACGCCAGGCACCTCTGTCCTCCACTACCTCCCACAGTTTGGTCAAACTCATGCTGGTAACCTCGAAAACACTATCCAACCATCTCGTCCTCTGTCGCCCCCTTCTCCTTGTGCCCCCCATCTTTCCCAGCATCAGTGTCTTCTCCAGGGAGTCTTCTCTTCTCATGAGGTGGCCAAAGTACTGGAGCCTCAGCTTCACGATCTGTCCTTCCAGTGAGCACTCAGGGCTGATTTCCTTAAGAATGGATGCATTTGATCTTCTTGCAGTCCCTGGGACTCTCAAGAGTCTTCTCCAGCACCATAATTCAAAAGCATCAATTCTTCGGCGATCAGCCTTCTTTATGGTCCAGCTCTCACTTCCAAACATCACTACTGGGAAAACCATGGCTTTAGCTATACGGACCTTTGTTGGCAAGGTGACGTCTCTACTTCTCAAGATGCTGTCTAGGCCTGTCATTGCCCTTCTCCCAAGAAGCAGGCGTCTTTTAATTTCGTGGCTGCTGTCACCAGTTGTGGTCTGACATAAATACAATAAAGAAATAAAATCCCAACGATGGAGGAAGGAACTATGCTTCTGTGACTCCCATCCTGCTCAGCTAACTGAGGAACCCTGAGCTGCTTTCCCCCACCCACATTTTTACAGCTACAATAAAGTTGTAAATTCTTATTTATTTGTCTAGAGAAGGTGAAACAACAGGTCTTATAACTCACTGCACATGTTTACATGTGTCCGTGCTTACCCATTCGTGCTCAATAGGGTTTATTCCCTAGTTAAATTATTTAGGATTGTATTTTTGAATGAATAGTAGCTCCTAAATCACATATCAATATCCTTTTTAGTATTATGTAATGATTTTGTTTAATTGCTTTACATAAAAGTAGAAAAATATTTTGCAGGCCATTATAAACCAGTAAAAATAATCACTCATTTTCTAGGAAATGTCCCATGAGTCACCATAATGGTTTAATTTTCTTTGCTGTTTAAAAATTAAAACACTAAAATTATCACAGGAATTCCTTGGTATTCAGAGTAGTTAGGCTAATAGGTATTGATCATTGATTTTTTTTTTATAATTCTGATGTAAAAATAATTTTCCAGTAGCCTTTTTTGTTTTTTGTTGCTACTTTGGATGGAACTTTAATCTTGTCCGTTCCTTTTGCATGTATTTCTGTAATAATGTTTTTAAGAGAGGACTTTGGCAATTATATTTCTTCTTTATTTTGACATTGGGGTAGCCATTTGTCATCCTTTATAGTAGCCAACATGGTAACCTCCAAATGTTCTTAGACTACAGTTCTCATCAGCTTCAATCAGAGCTCCAACCAGCATGGGTTAGTGTTCAAGAATAATGGGAGTTGATTTCAATAACTGCTGGAGGGCACCATACTTTGCTATAGCAATCTTTTTATAAACAGTTATTGCAAATGAGGTAATATTAAATCTTAATATACTCTACACGGTAAGTTCACTATTAGGAAAAGTGGCATTTTTTCCTCACAAAGTGTTAGCTTACTTTAAGAACACTGTTCAAATGAAAATTAACAACTTATTAAAAGTAAAATAAAACAACTTTAGCACATGCTTCCTATCATTCCTGAAAAATGAATGGAGTGCAACAGAGTTTTGTATCCAATATATTTCCCCCATTCATTAAAACATTGTCACATTCATTGTTATACTAACAGAAAAGAGCACCAGATTTGTAGGAATGGTGGAGAAAGTTTACATATTAAGAGAACCTCTTATATCATGAGGAAAAATATAATGATACATATAATACAATATTCCTCCCCCTTTCTGCTAAACTAGTTAAAATAGTATGTTTAGACGACAAACTAAACAATATTGAGTTTTCTGAGATCTTTGCTACCTTATAGAATTAGGAGGCTGTTTTGATTAATCTTTAATTTTTGTTTATTCACCCAGGTAATTACTACTTATTGAAAGTGCCAAGTGTCAATATGTACCATTCCATCACTGAAACTAGCCATCCTTTACAAGCTGAAGAGCAGGAAATAGGCATTGATCCCCTGCAAAGTTATGTGAACAAGCCTGATGAAGGTGAGTTGATCATTTTTACACTTAACATTTGAGAAAATGTATGAGAATTTTTGAATGGCTATATGTTTATGATGTCTTCCATCTCCCCTGCCCCAAACAAAACATAACTGAACAGAAATGTTTTAAGAAACATTTCGCTGTGTGTGTTGACCATTCTGGCCCTAACAAAAACCAGAAACATTCAACTATTTTCATATTGAAACACTAGTCAATTTATTAATTCCGTGTTATCTTTTCTTATCATAAACAAACAGTGATATTGAAATCATGTAAATAGGAGCTCTTCAACTCCCCCCCCCCCCCGATTTCTTATTACCAAAACCTGGTCGTTATTTTATGTTTCCTATTTTTTCATTTGGTTTTCTTTGTGCTTTTGTAATTCATTTGGTAAAATAAGATTTAGCAATTCACTATTAAATTTGAATTTGGCATTGCTAACACAATCCAAGCAGAACTTTCCAATCTCCTTGTACCTTTAATTGTTAATCAAAGCTGTCAACTTTGACACTCCTGTCGTAATATATTGTGTGTGATGTTCATTTGTTTCTCAAGCTAAACAATATTGTATACTACATCTTAAAAACACCCAGGAATCGCCAACAAAATAAAAGCACAGTGAAAGAATAAAAACAAAAAAAGTTAAATGCTTGCAGTAGTAAAAACACACTGTAAGATGTAGAGGGGCAGGAAAAAAAACACTAAAGAGAAAGGAAGTGTTTTCAGTCTCTTAAGTTCAACAGAGATGAATCCAGGAAGGACATGGAGATAGTAAGCCGCAGCTGAAAAGGCTCTCACTCTTACTCACCTCATTCCTGAAAGTGGAACCATAAAGATCATAATATTTGGGCAGGCTGATGTGGCCACACAACTAGATTTATGATGATATATTGGCATACTATTTATTTTCAGGCCACAGATTTTCAGAATTGAAGGTGAAATGTAGTAGAAGTTCAATGAAAACATAGTACAGTACCTTGAGTGATGCAAATTGGTTAGTTGAACTTCCTACCTATCTGTTATTACTGACTACTATTTGGTTCTTCAGATGCTCTGCCCATACATATACAATACCTAGAGGGGTTAGCAGGACCACACACCCCTAGCCCCAATCTCAGTGTGGCTGGCCCCCTGACCCTGGCCTCAGCACATTACAGTGAAGCATTGGAAAGGGGTGTCCATGCATGTGTAGCTAAATGTGCATAGGTATCCTTTTCAGATACTCTGCACAACATACAAAGGATACTTGTGTAACAGGACTTTTAATTCTCTTCTCCCCCTCCAACCCCCTGTGTGCACTCAGAATTTGCTTCAGGGAGTAGGAAATGAAGGAGAAGCCCCATTGTGTGAGTGGATGCCCACTTATGCTATGTTAAATCTCAGCCTCTGTTGCTGAATGTAGACAAGTGTGGGTCTTAACAATTGTGGCTATTTGTTGTTGTTTAGTCGTTTAGTCATGTCCGACTCTTCGTAACCCCATGGACCATAGCACGCCAGGCACTCCTGTCTTCCACTGCCTCCCGCAGCTTGGTCAAACTCATGCTGGTAGCTTTGAGAACACTATCCAACCATCTCGTCCTCTGTCCTCTTTTCCTTGTTCCTTGTGCCCTCAATCTTTCCCAACGCCAGGGTCTTTTCCAGGGAGTCTTCTCATGAGGTGGCCAAAGTATTGGCGCCTCATCTTCAGGATCTGTCCTTCCAGTGAGCACTCAAGGCTGATTTCCTTAAGAATGGATAGGTTTTGATCTTCTTGCAGTCCATGGGACTCTCAAGAGTCTCCTCCAGCACCATAATTCAAACACATCAATTCTTCGGTGATCAGCCTTCTTTATGGTCCAGCTCTCACTTTCATACATCACTACTGGGAAAACCATTTAACTATATGGACCTTTGTTAGCATTATTCAGCATCTAATGCAGGGGAGCAGAGCCACAGAGCTGGCCCTCCATTCACCAGCATCACTGTTGCTCAGAGGCATAGCTGAGGTTGGGGCTGCACAGATGCCCCAGTTGGAGTGCCAGATTGGCAGCCCTGGCTCATCCAGTACACCCTCATAGCCCTGCCCAGGAAAACAGCAGTTATGCTGGTGTCAGGAGAGTGGCTTGGTCCCACCATACAAGCCCTGTAAGTACGTTTTGAAATTATGATAGAATTATCCTACTTGTTCCTTCCCCGGGGGCACAAAAATAGGGGAAATGTTATGATAATCAAATGCCTTGTTGTTCATGCCTTGTTGTTCATATCTGGCTTATCAAAAATCAGTGATCTTAATAATTCAATGTGTCTTCAAAAATTAATGCGCTTTTATGTAAATTATGTTCACAGTTACTCAAATATTTGGTTATCCAAATATTTTACATTACACTAGTCCAACAGAATGTATCATTCATATTTAAAAGTTTGGACATACTAGGAAGCTATTTTAATGAAACATTTTTAAGTTCATGATTGCTTGGTTTTTCTCAGCCTACATCAATTAATAGTATAGAATAAAATGTTAGTTCTTAACCATGATTTTTAACATCTTTGGGAAGTATTTTTGATCAGTTGTACTTTGTGTGTGTGTGTGTGCGCGTATGTGCGTGCCTTGAGCAATTAGTTACCTAGACACAGAAGACTTTATAGTTTTTATCTGAACCTTAACATTGCTGCAACATACAAAGTTATTAGTATTGAATTGATGTTTAAAAGTGCCATTAATTCATTTACCCCAAATGTTCATTAACAATGTAAATGTATGCTGATGTTCTATGAGACAAGGAAGTGACTAATGACTCTTCGCACTAACAACACTTAAAATGAATAGAAACTTAAGATAGCTAATCTTGAAGTAATCAAGGCCCTCATTCAGCTTGGCTTCTCTGTATGCTCTAAAACAGCTGTCAACTGTTAAAAATATATACACAACACACAGATACGCACATGCAAAGATAGAGATATGTAAATACATGGTTCCCCAAAGTCATAAAGGTTACCAACCATAGTACATTTTTACGTTCTATATGTAAATATTTTATATAAAGCATCCATTTCATCTTCATGGCTTTTTTACAGTGAAACACAGACTGCATTTTAATTTAGTGCCATATGCATCCAAGATTCATCATCTCAGTTTTATGCTATTATTTAAAATAAGGTATGCAGCAGATATTAGGGGTGGAGTGGACTTTATGTAATTTTCCTAGCCCAAATGTCGCAACTCAGGAATTCAATATCAAGGGGCAGGATGTGCTCTGTGACTAAGAGATCATTGCATTATAGGAATTAATGAATCATGGTAGCAAGACTGTCACTATTCAGGAACAACTATAGCTGCCTCCAGTGACACTGTTGGATCTCGGAGCATCCCCAGAATATCATTCATTTATTCAGTACATTTCTATGCTATCCTTTATCATAACTAATCTCAGGGTGGTTTACACATAAATGATAACTATAACCCACAGTAAAACAATAAACCTGCAGGCTGTATGTCTGCATACAGCATGAGAAGCACCTACAGACTGGAATCATTCTGTTTATTGACCTTCATCCAGCCCACCACTGCATCCAGGGACTATTCAGGACTGGTACAACCTCACTTGACTCAGTTGACAAGGTGAAATAGTATTGGGTGTCATCAGCATACTTATAGCATGGAATCATAGAATTGTAGAGCTGGAAGGGATCCTGAGGGCCATCTAGTTCAACACTGCACTGCAGGAATCTCAACTAAAGCATCTATGACAGATAGCCATCCAACCTCTGAAAGAGAGTCCATTCCACGATTGAACAGCCCTTACCTTGCTCCACATCTCTTGATGATCATACCCTGTAGATTCCTTCAAGGATGGGGGGGGGGTATTGTCAAGGTCAATATGTGTAAGGGGGTTGGACAGCAACTGAAAAAAGGCGATCCATCAGTTGGCTCAAGTTGCAGGCAGCCAGGTTGGCTTTGGTTCACTTTGCACAGCTTCAGCACCATTCCACATGTTGATACACACTGACAACTCCACTGCAAAATCTCACATTGTGTGTCAAGGGGGCACAGGGTTGGCATCCCTTCAAAGGGAAGCAACTCTTCAACTGGGCCGAAAAACAGCAGTTACCAGTGCCACAATTGATGTGGAGGGCACCATATTTGCTGTCCCAACTATAAGCAATGGTAGAAATACTGCCGACATTGCTTTTTCAAGAGTAGCCAAGAAATCAATAACAGTCACTGGGAGTATTCCAGTAAATATCTCAGATTTGATCATCTCTGGGTGAGTCTCCATGGAAGCTTCTCAGACTGTGTGTTGCTTTAGTGATACACCGTAGGTGTAGAAAAGACGATTGGTGTATCACTTCTAAACTTTTGTCTTGGTATCTTTAGCTTCTTGAACAATGTTCTACTGTCTTTCTATCACTATTTTCATGTGTGCTTTTCCTTTTGAATATTAGAACATGCTTCCATGTGGATGCTTTATAAATAATTCCAGCACCCCAGGTACAAATGCTGTAGGTGTATTTCCTTGCATCATGTGGTAGTTAGAAATAACTAAGTGTTATAGCCAACTATGTAGATAGATGCTGAGCAAAACAGGAAATTATAATGCTTTGGCAGGTGTTTAGGATATCATTCAAAAATATTATCTGGAATAGGATGCTAATGGTGATGAACAATTCAGGCTGTGTAGAACATTCGCTGCTGAAACTTATCCAGTCTGCCATATTTTATTCCCTCTAAATAGCAGCAAAGCTTTCTTCTGCTGCTTCCAACACCAGATGCTTACTTAGCAAGCTTTTAATAGTCATTTATTAATAATAGCTTCTGTGTAGTTTGCTTTTACTTGAACAGCTACAGATCTGTAGTGACAAAGGCCATTGGCATATCACTTTTCCACTTATGTCTTGTAATAATTGTCCCTGTCACTTGCTTCTTAATCAATGTTGTCCTCTTGTCTTGTAATCACTTTAATATTTCCATATACAGTGTTCTTTTTGGATAGAGCATTAAACACAGTGAGCACCACTGTTTTTAT